GAGGGACTGAGGGTACCGCAGGGGCCTGCTAAGCCCTTCCTGGGTATTCTCTCATGTCATGGGAGCTTGAAGAGGTGGTGCGGATATTACCCCCATTGTACAGAGGTGGGAACTGAGGCTCAGAGAGGTTTAGGCCCTGCCCAAGGTCACACAGCTCCTGTACTATTAGTGTAACTCCCCTGTCCCTGCCCCCGACCCCCTCCCCGGAGGTAACCATTGCCCCCAGGCTCTTCACCACACTAAGGATGGACAAGTGCTTCCTGCTGTGTGACCCTCTGCAGCTTCATCATCATTCCAGGCCAGAGCATGACCGAAGGCAGGAGTGTGTAGTTCCCACGGTCTGGGCTGGAAGGTTTGAGGGGACGGCAAGGTCCCTGGGGACTGTAGTGCTTTGGGAGGCTTCTTGGAGGAGACTGAAGGAGAGGCGGTAGGGGCAGCTGGAGCCGGGAGGTCCCCGTCAGGTGGGCATTGCTGCCCATCCCTCCACCTACACCCGGACACAGCTGCCCTGCAGGGCCTTCCAGAGAGCACCAAAGATCAGTGAGAGCGGCCTTGTCAGGCAGAACCTCCCAGGCCTGTAGATCACGCCGATCTGGAAAATTTGGCTTTGGTAACTTCCCTCCACGAGCTGGCCCAGCTCTCAGCTCCTGGGGCTGCAGCACAGCCCACCCAGGCCTGGCCGCCCTCTGGGGCCAGAGCCAGAGGCCCTGCAGCTCTCTTGCCCTGGCATACCTTCCTCCCCATGACCTTGCCTTTAACCCAGTTCGGTTTAGGTGTCCCCTCCTGCAGGAACCCTTTTCTGAGCACCATGGGCTGGGCTAGGACCTCAGAGAATCTAAACCTGTGCTGACCAAAAGAAATACGTGAGCCACACATGCGAGCCACATATGTGATTTTCAATTTTCTGGTAGCCATGTGAAAAAAAAAAAGCCAAAAGAAACAGATGAAATTATTCTAATGATATATTTTATTAAACCTAATACATCCAAAATATTATCATTGCAATACAAAAGTTATTAAGGAGATATAGTACATTTCTTTTATTAAATCTTCAAAATCTAGGGACTTCCCTGGTGGTCCAGTGGTTAAGACTCCGAGCTTCCACTGCAGGGGGCACGGGTTCAATACCTGGTCAGGGAACTAGGATCCCGCATGATGCTGCGCAGCGCGGCCTAAAAAAATAAATTAAAAAATAAATCTTTAAAATCTAGTGTGAATTTTACACTTACAGCACATCTCAACGTGCACGAGCCACATTTCAAGGGCTCAGAAGCCATATGTGAGTAGTGGCTCTCTGACGGGTCAGCAGAGCCTTAGAGGCAGGGAGAAAAGCATAAGGGTTGAAGCTCAGTGCTTGGCATCAGACAGATCTGGCAGTCACACCCTGGCCCTGCCATTTACTAGCTGGGTGAACTTTGGGAAGTCGTTAACCCCGAGCCTCAGTGACTCCAGCTATGAAAGGAGTTAATAATTTCGAAGCCAAAGAATTGGTCTAAGGATTAAACAAATGTGTGACTGGGGCCAGGCACAGAGCTAGTACTCAGAAAGTGGTGGTGATTCATCTTACAGTACCCTCTGATGTGCGGGTCTGTGTGCCTTTCTCCGCCGCTGGACTGACGGCGAATCCAAGGACAGAGGCTACCCAATTCCTCTTGCCTTCCCCAGGCTCGGCGTGCACATCACTGACTACTAAATGAAAGAGTAAATCCTTGCACTACGAATGCTTGCCACCCCACCCTGCCGACCCAGGAATCAAGGGGCCCCTGGTGTCCGGGAGTCGTGAGACCACTGACTACCTGGGGTGACCTTGGCGAGGTGCTGCTTTGCTCTGGGCCTTGGTTTCCTCATCTGAAAGATAAAAGGGGAGGGGTGGGAGGGGCCTGCTGGAGTATTTTGTTTGGTCTCTGCCCCACCAGTGGCCTTGGGGGACTGTAGCGGACACCATGTGTTTTGCCTTCCCAGCCAAGGGACAGCATCACTTCCATCCTATTCCTGGCTTTCCTGTATCCTAGCACTTTTGCACCATCAAGTACCCTCCAGTTAAAATTTAAGAAGAAAGACTTTCTCCTGCTTCCCAGGCAGACCCGAGAGGGGATGAGGAGTCCTGTCCTTTCTCTTCTGCCAGCATCTGCTAACCCATCCCAGCAACTCAGCGACAGAAGCAGGGCAGGAAGAATCTCTCCCACTTTATAGGTGAGAAAACTGAAGCTCAGAGAGGTCAAATCATCTACCCAAGTAACACAGGAAGAAGTGGCAGAGCCAGGGCTGGAAGCCGAATTCAGAAGAGCCCCTCTTTACAGGGGGTGGGGTGGAGGCTCCCATCCTGCACCTGGGGCCCTAGCATTTCTCCATGGGGGCTTTCACAAGATGTGGTTCTGGGTTGGTCCTGTGCCTCAGTTTCCCTGCCCTGGGAATAAAGGCAGCCAAGTAACTGGGGAAGTGATTTCAACTGATGCCTACAGGGGGCCGTGTGTTCTTCAGAGAGTTCCCCCACCCCCCTTCCCCACCACAATCAGATTTCTCTGGAAAAGGTTATTGTGGGGTGAAGTGGAAGATGTCTGGTCCAGAGAGTCAGTGTTACTGTGCAAGTGTGACCTTGGACAAGTCACTCACCGCTCTGGACCTCAGACCGCCTGTTTATAAAATGGGGGGGGGGGGGTGACAAGATGTGAGAATGGAACATGAAAGTACTTTGCAAACTAGAAAGTGCTAATAGAAATGTTAGCCAATAATAATAATAGAAAGAGAAATAATGATAACAGTAGAAGAAGCCCAGTTTTCTGTGTGGTCCCACTGACCTGAAGGGAATTGGGCCCTTCGGGTATAAAACCAGAAGAATGTTCTGCCTTGGTTTTTGGAGTGTTGCCTGGATTCTTCTGGGAAAGTGAGAGGCTCCATCTAGCTGAGGAGGGTGGGAAAGTGGTCCTGCCCCAGGGGAGGGAGGGGAAGGCTCCTGCCTGGGGAAAGAAAGGAAGGGGAGGAGGGTTGAGGGAAGGAGAGTTGAACTAGGAGGAATGGAGGGCTCTGGCTGGGCAGCTCTGTCCTGCCCACAGGAACCCAGGGTTGGGAAAGGCGGCAAGCAGAGGAGGCTAAGAATCAATTTGGAATAAAAATACTTGAAGCAGGCAGTCAGAAATCTCTTAGCAGATGTGTGTATGAAACAATAAGTCCATCTGGTGTAACTCCTAAGTTTTACTGGTCCTTTCACTCATTCATTTGAATAAATGTGTGGTGAATTGAATTCAAGCAGAGCACCCCGGAGTGGCAAAGTGACTTGCCCAAGGCCTTCCTCCTGAGGGCCTGGGGAGTTCCTGGGAAGAACTGAATTTTGGAAGCTGGGGAGCGAAAAGTCCAAAGGCAAAGGAGAACATCTACAGGGAAGTCCGCCCAGCAGGACTCTGGTCCTTCTGGGAATTGGCCCTGTGCTGGTTTGTCCATCTTCCTGTCTCCTGTCTGGAGGGAGGGCATGTTCTCTAGGACTGGGAGGATCTGGTTTCCTTCGGCTCTCTGCTCTCTGACCACCCCGGAGCCTAGTGGGCAGCAGAGAGGGTGAAGGCGCCAGAGAGGGTGAAAGCTGTGTCTTGGGAACATTTGGTGAAGGAGTGCGTGACATTTAACTTGGAGAAGAGAAGGCTTGATTTGGGGGTGGGGAGAAGGGACATGGTTGCTATCTTGGGTTCTCTGAGGGAGGCTGGGGAGAGGGCATAGCCTCGTTCTGTGGAGGCCCTAGGGTTGGTACTAGGACCTGGGGTGGAAGGTCACTGTGACGGAGCATCCACCTTGGGAGAGAGGAATGGAGGGGGGCGCTGCCTGTTGCTGGAGTGTGGGAGTTCAGATGGATACTGGTGAGGCTGACACCGAAGGAAATGCAGCCTGCCGTGGGGAGGGGGTGGTGGCGTCCCAGCTTTGGGCCTCTGTAATTTCCAGTGTGGTGGATTCTGCAGTGCCTAGAACAGTGGCTGGCACATAGTAGGTCCTCAGGAATGATTTGAAGAATGAAAGAATAGATGCGTATGCCTGGGATGGTGGCGGTGCTGGCTAGGGAGTAGGGGTCATGTGGCCTGCAAATGCGGACCCATGGGCAGAAATCTTTGGGGATCATGTTGTGGGTTACACAACCATCTCTCAGGACTTCCCCACAAACTGGGAACCCTAGAGATAGGTACATCCACCCCTTTTTTCACTGTTGGCAAAGTGAGGCCCAGAGCAGGAGAGCAGTGTGCCCAAAGGTACTGGTTGACCCATGACACAGCTGGACTAGAACCCAGGCCGTTGGAGGTCCTCACTGTGGATCTCCTAAGTTGGTCTGGAGGGCTTTCTGAGACAGCGCTGCTGGAGGGGAGGAGCGGGGCTTCACTTGGTTTTGAGCCAGGACCTCAGTGCCACAGGCCAGCTGGCCACCCCCCAACCCCACCTTCCTGGAGCCTGGATGCACCTACAGAAACATCTGCACACGGGCCCACTCCCCACTGTTACACTTATGGCCATTGTCACCGAAGCACATATGAACAAATGCACACATACACACACGTTATCCCAGGAGACATTTGCATGACCTCCTCCACGGTGGGGGAGGAGCGCTGAGTCCCAGGGAAGTTCTGACCCGCGCTGTGAGCTACAGGGGAGGTGAGGGTATTCGGCTGGGCCCGGTGGGCTGAGGCTGAGTCACCCCTTCTGAGTCAGGGATCCTCTCCTCTTCCTCTCCCCTCCGCCCCCTCCTCCCCCGCCGAGCCCCCAACAGGGGTTGGCCTGAGCGGGGACAGGGGCTGTCCAAGGCCAGGGTGGGGTTAGCGGAGGCGCCGGGCTTGGCTGCCGAGGCACAGTCCCGCGGTGGACCGGTGACTGCCGCTGTGGCAGCGCCCGGGAGGAGGTGGCCTGGGAGCCTGAGAGAGAGGGAGAGGGAGACCGGCAGGGAGGAGGCGGAGGCAGGGGCAGGGCCGCCGCGAGGGAGCAGGCAGGCGCGCGGCGGCTGCCCCAGGGCTGGGCGCAGAGGCCGGGCGGGGGCGGGGACTGGCCGCGCGACGGGCGCCAGGCCCGGGGCTATAGGCACGGTGCCCAGCCCCCGGCGCACGCCGAGCCGCCGCCGCCGCCGCCGCTGCCGCAGTCGGCATCCATCAGCGGGCGGGGGTGTCGCGGACCAGGCTGCTCCGCAGAGCCCAACGCGGCCCGGCGCGCCCGCCCCGCCCCGCGGCCTGCCGGCCCGCAGGAGCCGAGGGGGCGCCCCCCTCCCAGCCTGCCCGAGATGGGGACCCCCAGACCCAGGTAGGCACGTGCGGGGGATCAGGTGGCACGGGGGGCTAGGGGCTCGGTACCCGGAGGCCCAGCCTCCAGCCCTGGGGGAGGTCGGGACCGACCGGCAGGAACTGAGTTTGCAGGCTCTTGGCCCTCCGACCAGTGCGGGGGAGGTCCTTGCTGTTCCTCCCTACCTCCCAGGTCTGCAGCCTCCCCGAGGCCTGGAGAGAGAGGTGGGCAGGCGAGGGGGCTGACGCTTGCTGTAGGGATGAACGATTGCGCTGGGTGCTGGGCTGGCCCGCTCCGTTCTCCGAGACCACTCCTGCCGCCGCCGTGGAGGCCGAGAGCGCTCTGGATGTCTCCGTCCAGGCTTCCGATGCTGCAGGACAGTCTCTTGGCTGAAGATTGGGGTGCTGGGGAGCTCTCGCCCTCACCCTCACCCTCTGGTTACAGTCCTTTCCCCACTCGGGGCTCACTTCCCATCCCACCTCCCTTCCGAGTCTCCCAAAGCTGGGGGGATAGAACTTAGCCCTAGGACCACTGAGGTTCTGGCCTGGTGTTGTCCTGACCAGAGGCTTCCCCTAGCCGTTAGAGGGAGAGGACTTGTGGGTCCTAGTTGTGTCTGGCACCTTCACACTTGGGGACATCCAAGGCCCCAAGAGGCTGGGATCTTGGGGGCAGGCATGGTTGTGGTGGCGAGTGACTACAGCCATCAGGGTACTTACCAGATCCTAAGGCCACTGTCTGGCAGGGCTATGGCTGGGGGTGGTCCCTGGGGACCGTAGGAGGCTGGACAAGGATGAGGAAAGAGTTCTGAGGATACTGGTCTCCTTTGCGGCACTGGCCGTGGTCCTTGCTTCCCAACTCCCACCCCCCCCCCCCCCCCCCCCAGAGCTCTGAGAATGCATTGGTGAGGGAGAGACACTGCCGTGTGTTCCTGCCTCCTCTGCACCCAGAGGTGGGAGTGTAAGAGGGCTGGGTTTAGGACCTCTCTGAGGCCCTGTGGGGTTCAGCTGCTCTATCTCTCCGCCACCTCCCAGCATTAGGAGTCTTCCAGATTCAGTAGCAGCTGGGCCAGGTTGAGAGCTAGGGACGCGAATGATGCCCTCAGAAGCTCCTGGAAGAATCGCGGTGCTGCCTGTCCCGGACAAGGGTGTGGAGAAGAGAGGCGACTGTGTGCCCGCCTGCCCACCCATTCCTCCATATGGAGCCTGCGGCAGTGGCGGCCTGTGCCAGCCTCCTCTCTGAGCCACTGTGGCCCAGGGAGGCTCTGCCAGCTCCGTGCAGAGATGAAGCTGGCTTCTGCTGGCCAGTCTGAGGTCATGCCTGCCTGCTGATCCCATGTACCAGATTTGTGTATGTGCAGAGCATGGTTCCTTGAGGGGCCCCTCAAGGCAACCCTGGAGAAGGAGATCAGTGCAGGGGGCATGATTCCTATTAAACCCTTCCTGGGCCACATGGCCATTCCCTGGGCCCAGGTCTGTGAGCTTCATGGAGGACTGCTTCCCAGAACTGGCATGAGTGGAATACTTGGTCCTGTAGTCCTCACTCAGTAAATATTGAAACGTTGAATGAGGCCTAGAGAGGAAGAATGACTTGTCCAAGGTCACAGGCAACTGGTAAGAGAGCCAGCACTAACGTACCCAGCTCTTCTAACTGGTTTGGGGTTTTCGCAGCCCAAATGCCTGCTTCTGTGCTGCTGCGGCTGTTCCATACGCAGGACTCTGATGGGCTGGGCATTGTAGCCTGGAGCCTGAGTCTGCCTCTTAGGAGGCGCCTTCCATTGGTCTCCCAGCCCTTGCCCCCAAAAAGTGAGAAGGAAAGAAAGGTCAGGCTGCCTCACAGATAATGGGCCAGGGCTGAGGCATAGGTGGCTGGTAGCCCTGGTCCCTCTTGGGAGGATGCAGAGCCAAGAGGATGCTGGTGCCCAGGCAAGTTCTGGGTCTGAGCATGCGGGGGCAGTAGAGAGGGTCTCCTGACTAGGCCGGCTGAGGTAGGAGGTGCCTCTTTGTTTGCTCCCGCATGGGTGTCCTTGTGAGCCTCTTGGGCTTCTGTGTCCCCATTTATAAAAAAAGGATAATAGGGGCTTCCTTGGTGGCGCAGTGGTTGAGAGTCCGCCTGCCGATGCGGGGGGCACGGGTTCGTGCCCCGATCCAGGAAGATCCCACATGCCGCGGAGCGGCTTTGCCCGTGAGCCATGGCCGCTGAGACTGCGCGTCCGGAGCCTGTGCTCCACAACGGGAGAGGCCACAACAGTGAGAGGCCCGCGTACCGCAAAAAAAAAAAAAAAAAAAAAAGGATAATAATCTTTATCTGGAGTAATACCAATGATTACCCAATCAGAGTGAGGACATTTATTGAGCACTTACTGTATGCCATGCACTGGGACAGTAAGTGCTTTACATTATCTCACAGCAACCCTGACAAGTAGGTGCTATTATTATCTTCTTTTTACAGATGAGTAACTAAGGCTCAGAGAGATCAAGTTACCTGCCTGAGGTTACACAGCTGGAAAGTGTGTGGTTGAGTCCAGAACCCCTCTCTCTACCATGGCATTGTACCTGGGGCAGTGTCTGGGAATACCAGGCCGGTGTCCAGCAGAGCCAGACACCTGATGTGCCAGGGCTGGTCCAGGTGGAGAGGTCTACGTGTTGGATCTTGTGAGGCAAGGGTGGCTCTGTGGCCCGAGTGCTCCTGTGGTCCTGAGGGGTAGGGGCAGAGAGGTACTGGCTGGGAGCCTGAGAGAGGGGTTGGCTGTGGCTTTCTGCTTCCTGGCCAGGATCCCCCGGAAGTGGGGAATGCTCTGGACTCCCTGCTCCCATTGGCTACGAGGGAAGACTGGTTGGCTCTGAGGCTGGTTGGCCCTGACACTCACCCCTGCCACATTTGATAGGAACCCAGTGACCAGAAAATGCAAGGGAGGGAATGCAGGGGCACCAGCTGGGACTGTGAAGAGGAGGCCCTGAGGGGAGGGGACGGAGCATGGGTGGGCCGGTGGGGGTGGGAGCATGCTGGCACTGCTTCCTTTGTGGGCGGGAGGCTTGTGGGTAAGAATAGTCGCAGCCAACATTTATCGAGCACTTACTACATGCCAGGCACCTGCTTTAAGGGCTTAACTCATACAATCTTCCAAAACCCTTTGAGGTAGGAATTCTTCTTCCTCCCATTTTACAGATTGAGGGAACTGAGGCTTAGCCAAGAAAAGACAGTTGCTCAAGGTCACACAGCTCGGTCGGTCGTTGGGGAGCCAGGATTCAAATCTAGGCAGTGTGAGTCAGAGCCACATTCCTGATGGCAATGCGAGCTGCCCACAGTTTCTTCTCAGAGGTCATACTCAGTTTTGTTCAATTTGAAAAATATTCCCTGAGTACCTCCTGCAGGTCGTATATGGCCTCTGGGGAAGCATCCTCTCCTCAAGGGTCTCCCAGTCTAGCCTAGAGAGACACGGACATGACACAGGGGAGGTAAAGGAGGTCCTATGGCCTATCTCAGCGTGGATTCCTATTCTGGTGATCAGGGGAGGCTTCAAGGAGATCGGGGCCTTTGTGCTGGGCACCAAAGGCCAAGTGGAATTTTGATAGCTGTGGAGGTAAGGGCACCCACTCCCCTGGATCAGAGGGGAGGGAAATAGGGGTGTCTTTGAAGAATGGGCAGTCTGGTGTGCATGCAGCAGATGGTGCAGGGAGCTGGGGGGTGCTGGGAGGTGACTCAGAGTCAGCTTGTGTTTGGGTCTTTGTCAAAGCTCTGGAATCTGCCGGACCTGAGTTCTAGTCCCAGCTCCACTGTGTACTAGCCACGTGCCCTCGGGCTATCACTTAGCTGATCTGAGCCTCGGCTTCCTCATCTGTCAAATGTGGACAAACACACCTATCTGATTGAGACCACATTAGGGTTGTTATGTAAAGGACCTAGAGCAGTGCTGGCACACCACAGGGGCACAGCTAACATCAGTTCCCTCCCCCTTTAGTCTCTCTCAAATGTCAGACACAGGTGTTTCCACTTGACAAGGAGCCTGGAGGCTGCCGGAACCTTTGCGGGTGTTTGGTCTACATTGGGGCACGTGTTTGGGGCATGACAGAACCATGTCTGGGAAGGTCCCTTTGGCGACTGTAAGGACCATAAGTAACGGGTGGGCTCGGCCTTGCAGGAAAAACATCTGCACTGTGGGGCTTCTCTGGTGGTGCAGTGGTTGAGAGTCCGCCTGCCGATGCAGGGGACACGGGTTCGTGCCCCGGTCCGGGAGGATCCCACATGCCACGGAGCGGCTGGGCCCGTGAGCCATGGCCGCTGAGCCTGCGCGTCCGGAGCCTGTGCTCCGCAACGGGAGAGGCCACAGCAGTGAGAGGCCCGCGTAACACCCCCCTTGCAAAAAAACAAAAATCTGCACTGTGGACCTCGAGGGCTGGCGAGGAAGGAAGGTGGAAACCGCACTGAGATGTCCCCTGGAGTGGTTGGGGGAGGAGCAGGTTGGGGTGGGGGTCATGCATTTGGTTTGCAGCCTCATGAGTTTAAGATGAAGGACTGGTCTCCCTTCAGTCATTCCAAAGGTTGTGCAGCGTCTTTGTGCATCTGGTGTTTTTTTTTTCTTTTTGCATAATTTCCTTTGGATGAATCCCCATCAGACTTCTCCCATAATAGTAGCAAATTGGGACTAAGTGCCCGACAATAGGAAGATGATTGAGAACGTTTGGGAACATCCAGTGGATAAAATAATATGCAGCCGTGAACAGTCACAGAAATACTTATGGAGTTGTGCACTTGTGAAGCTCCTTTGCATCCTTTCTTCATTTCATTTCATGTTCCTGTGACAGAGGTGGGACGGGGGTTAGAGCCTTCCCGTGCATGAAGTGATTCAGGCTAGGCTCTCATCTCTTTGAGGGCAGCGTTCATGTTTTCTTCATTGTTCTGTCTTCGGCGTGTGGCTAAGTGATTTGCAAATGCTTGTCTGGTGAAAGAATTGATTGAGTGGACAAAGCAGAGGGGAGGTGACTTGTCCAAGGTCATGCAAGTAGGAGGACCCAGGACCTGGG